GAGAGAGAGAGAGAGAGAGAGAGAGAGAGAGAGAGAGAGAGAGAGAGAGAGAGAGAGAGAGAGAGAGAGAGAGAGGGCAATTGGCCATTGCTTGTCTTCTTTCCTCGTGATAGCATAGCAACCGGCAAGTGAGAGGAGACTCTCACATTGGTGGCTATGTCAACAACGGGGCGGGACACAGGCAGTGGGTAAACGTTCGTAGCATTGCCAAACGTTGGTGGTACTGGCAGGCGTCTTTAGGGAAGGTAGGAGGCACATGTGAGCTTCAGAAGGCGACCGATAGTCTAGCAGCGGGGGGAGAAAGGTTAGTGTGAGCTTCAGAAAGTGACTACAGCACCATGTCAACACCAAATAGAGGGGACGGTGCCGGAAGCGGCGGAGGCAATAGGGGCTGCTTCAACTGCGGTCAGCCTGGCCACTTCGCCAGGGACTGCCCCGTGGGTAGTAATCCAGGAACGCCACCGCTGCAGCAGCAGCAACCGTCGTTCGTGAATAATACCAGATACTGGCAGAACAAGCGCCAAGAGCTTGAAGACGACATCAAAAGACTCAAAACTATGAATGAATGGATGAACATCAAGTTGAGGAAAGAACAAGAGAAAATCGACAAGTAGAGGGAAGAAGAGGAGAAGGTAAGGAGGGAAGAGGAGCAAAGGAGGCTCCGACAGGAGCAGGAACGAAGGCAGACGGAGCTGAGGATGCTGAACAAGGAGATGGAGCTGAGGATCATTTCCATGGCAGCAAGGGAAATGCATCATTTCCGAGTGGAAGTACGTATCGACGGTATCGTCGTAATGACATACAAACTGCGCTGGCGGCCAGGACAACAACCCTGAAGGAGAAGGGGAAAGGAAGGGCTAAAACTCTGGATGATCATGGCATTGCTGCGGACAAGCTCTTGAAATACCTGCAGGGAGATAACGCAGAAAGCTCTCGAGACAGAGAAGAACGCGGCAGATGGCTGTTCACACCAAAGAACAGAGGGCAAAGAGTGTCAAGGAAGCTGGGAACGCCGGAGGAATCAGAAGACGGAGGAGAAGCAACACCTCGATCTGAGAAGCAAGGCTTGAACACTAAGCCGCAGGGAATGGAGAAGAAAGTGCCGGCTAGCTGCAGCAGGGAAGGAGTGACTGAATACTTTCTAAACATCAGGAAGAAGTACTCAGAACTGACGACACAAGAGATCAAGAAGCTATGCATAAGGGAGGGGACGGACTATACGTAAACTGTAAACAAGGAACAAGGACTCGGAGAGCTAGTTCGCGTAAGAACGAGGCTGGCGTACGAAGGGTGGCTGAATGAAGACAAAACGACGGAGAACACAAGAGGTGAGGACAATCTGGAAGACATTGATGAGGAATGAAACTACTCCGAACGACGGTTTCAGCCCTCAGATGCGGTAGCATGGGACAGCATGGCAAAACAGGTTGAGAAGTGAGATCTGGGGGCATACAGGTTGCACGAAGCTGCGACTTTCGATTGAGAAGGCGTTGGCAACGTGTTTCGTGTACCTAACTAAGCGCGGTAAGATCCCGTGGGCAGAAAATGTGCTAGATCTAGCACCGAGGGACCACCATTTTTTCCTTTTAAGCAACCGATAGTGTATTGTCTGTTGTCGCCTTGGTGTAAGAAGATTTACGTGGGGCAGACGGTAAGGGGGGCGACAGAGAGATGGTGGGAACACATTAGGTGTACAAAGGATCATGGTGATAGCCTGATAGGGGAAGATCACAAATTTTGTATAACTGGCTGCGTTGTTATGGTTGGGAGAAATACATTATTCTCCCTATTACAACAACTCAAACCACAGGCCTGAGACCGTGTAAAGAATAGATATAAAAACCTGATCATTACTCAGGTGGACAGAAACCCGGGGCAACTAGTGTTGATGTGTCCATCCACATGCCAACACACACTCTAGGACCAAAAGATGTTTGCATTTAGCTATGCATATGTACGGATCGATGCAGCAGAGGGAACAATTTTGGCAGAGATGAGAGTGAAGTATAAGGAAGCCGGATTGGAGAAAGTGACCGCATAGAATCGAAAAGGCAGCGTAGGCAATGCATACGTATTGCCTAAGCACAAGGACCTCACGAAATGGAGGCCTATTGCGCCTGCCAACACAAAATCAACAAAAACTTGCATCAAGAGAGTGGTGAGGGTACTAAACACTTTACTAGCAAAGCTCCCAGCTGCTCAGCATTTCAACTTGGGAGTAACGACTCAGCTGGAGGACTACCTCAAGAAGATAGAAAAAGGAAGCGGCAGCAACACGGAAAGTACAATGATGATACTTCAAAGTTATGACATCAAAGAAATATTTACCTCAATGCCTATGTATCCCCCGCGGTCATGACCTCGGGGTCAATCTCGGTCAGCGGTCTAGATCCCGACCGCTGAGATCGGCCCCTGAGGTTAATGCGGCCGAGAATTTCAAACATTAAAAAAAAATAAAATAATGGACCAAAAAATTAAAATAAAAATAGGGTTGTACGGTTTGAAGAGACTTACAATGCGGTGATTTTTTTATTTTTTTTTTACAAGTGTTTTCTTATTTTAAAAAAATAGAAAACAAAAAATTACGTATTTCAATTTAAAAAAATGTAATAAAAAAAGAAAATTTTAATTTTTCATCTGTGTGTGTGTGTGTGCTTGATTGGTGGGGAAGGGCGACCCCTTCCCCACCAATCAGTCAATTAATCAATCAATCAATCAATCAAAAAAGAAAAAAAAAAAATGTGTGTGTGTGTGTGTGTGTGTGTGTGGAATACTGAGATGAGTCTACTGCGTCTTTTCAACGCAGTGAGCTGCAAAATTATACAGCACAACAAACATGAATGCCAACTTAATGGACACATTCGTATCAATTGATTCAACCATCGATCTAGGTAAGTTACAACTCTCGGCGTTATGAGCATGACCTTATTGACTCCTAACACTCGTTTTGCCCAAGGATCGCTGGATCAAGATGAAAGAAAGAAAAAAGAAGGAAGAAGAAGAAGGAAGAAGAAGAAGGAAGGGATAGGCAACCAGGAAGGATTAATAGATCAGAGGAACAAGACACACAAAAATGAGGGAAGAAACTTCAACGAAAATACTGAGCAAGCATAAGAATCCATAACAAAAAATTGTCGCCACCAGGAACTTAAGCCGAAACCATTTCTGATAGAATCCGTATATGCATACATGTCAACTAAGCAGAGCGAAAAACCTTTCGAATCAAAATCAGCTATCAAGCAAAGTGTGAACCCTCGCGAAACTATTATTGGCCAACATTAACCGGAAACCAATAAACCT